GCGGGAACTCTGCTGGCAAACTCGCGCTCTGATTGGTCGCGGTTTTTCGTTAATATCTCGTAAACGAAGCCTCAGTTTAAATTTTTGCTAAGGAAAAAGTTGTTCCAATTCACCCCCCGAGTGCCACATTTCCGGGTCGGAGGACATTTTTGGGACACCCTGTATAAAAGAATTGTAGGAGCCCAAATCGTTGTCTCCGTTTCTTAGTAATTTTTTTTTTCTCCGTTCTATACGGCATACCCTCTAAAACCCCTCCTGCATGGACGTATACAGGGTGGCCCGCATAACTCTTAACAGCTCAATATCTCAAAAACTATGCCATCGATTTGAAGTTCTTGGTCTTAAATTGCACGAATCTGAAGGGCCTTTCTAACTACATAAACGTGAAGTGGCCCCCCCCCCATTCCCCTTTAAGGGGGGGCGGAGGTACCTTTATAATTTTAAATGGAACCCCCTATAAAACGTTACATATTTAGATTCTACAGGAAAGAACAAGTAAATTTTGTTTGAAACATTTTTTTGTCAGATATTTCAATGATGAGATATAACAGTTTGAAGTTTCGACTTGTAGGTACTTACTTGAAGCGCTGGGAAATTGCGTTATTAAATTATACGCGCTTGAGTCCTTTGCTTACTCGTGAAGAAACAAAAACCATAATATATACAATTCTTGAGTTTAACTGAATTATCCATGAAAATGTTCTCAGTTTAGAGCTGTTATTAAAGCAGTAACATTGCGATTATGGCTATTTTTTATACAGAAGTGAATATGTTATTAGTTTTAGGTGAATGCCAAAAAAAATTATCGGCGTGCAGCAGTGATGTTTTTTGAACGTTATGGGGTCGAAAAAGCGCATATAACATTTTATAATTTAGAAAAGCGGTTTCGTGAGCACGGTGGATTGTGTAAAAAATCTCGCAATAAACCTAAACCTGTCACTAATGAAAATAATACTGTCAATATTCTTGCTGCAATTACATTAAATACTCAAATTAGTCAACGTAAACTTGCACAAACATCACACATCAGTCGTTCTTCAATTCAACGAATTTGGAAACAGCAAAAAGAGGCTGCTTTTATGAATTCAGGACATGTAAATAAACATAATCTGCATTATTGGGCCGTGGAAAACCCACATTGGATGCGATCTGTTCCCTTTCAACATCGATGGTCTTTAAATGTTTGGTGTGGCATAATAGGAGATTTTGTGATAGGACCTTATTTTTTTGAAGAAACTGTAAAATCTGATAGTTATTGTGATTTATTAAAAAATCATTTGTCTGCGCTTTTGGAAGATGTGCCACTACACATTAGAAGAGAAATGTGGTTCCAACAGGATGGCGCTCCTTCACATTTTGCAATCATCACCAGACAATTTTTGAATGAAAAATTTGGGAACAAATGGATAAGTCGTGGGGGACCTCATCAATGGCCTCCTCGATCCCCCGATCTAACACCATTAGATTTATTCTTATGGGGATATGTAAAGGCCAAAGTTATATTTCAACCGCCGACGACAAAAAAGAATATGAAACAAAGAATACGTGACGCTTACGCTTCAGTGACTCCTGAAATGTTAAGAAATGTTAGAACAATTTTGATGTTTCGAGTAAATAAATGTTTACAAGCCCGTGGTGGACATTTTGAATATTTAATTTAAAGAACATTTTATTTCTACACGAATAAGCAAAAGTCTCAAGCGCGTATAATTCAATAACGCAATTTCCCAACGCTTCAAGTAAGTACCTACAAGTCGAAACTTCAAACTGTTATATCTCATTATGGAAATATCTGACAAAAAAATGTTTCAGACAAAATTTACTTGCTTTTCCCTGTAGAATCTGAATATGTAACATTTTATAGGTGGTCCCATTTAAAATTATGAAGGTACCCCCGACCCTCCCTTAAAGAAGAAGGGGGGCCACTTCACGTTTATGTAGTTAGAAGGGGCCTTCAGATTTATACAATTTCAGACCAAGAACTTTAAAATCGATGGCATAGTTTTCGAGATATTGAGCTGTTAAAAATTAATTACAATCTGTTGAATGTAGATATCTGTATCTGCACTTTCTTATTCGTCTTCATCAAAGTTGGTATCCACTTTGAAGAGTTTATCCTCTTCACCGATTGTGTGTCTCACAAAGTTTGACCACATTTCTGACGTGACTTTGTCTGTGGCTTGCCGCAGTAAAGCCTCTACGCCAGCTAATACATATGATGTATTATTGCGCTTGACGTAGGACTTAATACATGACCACGCCAACTCTATAGGATTGAGCTCAAAATGGTAAGGTGGTTGCCTAAGGACTTTCATATGAAATGTCGTAACGTAGTCGTCGATAACATACTTATCGTACAACCGTTTCAATTGTGCTACCATATCCAGCAATTCCACCTTTAATTTTGTTTGCTCAACGGCTTGCCCCTTTCCCTGCAACCACTCAAAAATCTGGTCCTTATTCCAAGTGGCGTTAGGGCACATCTCCAATTTCTTGGAGTGGTATGGGGCATTAACCATCACTATTATGGCGTTAGGCTTAAGTTTCGGAAGAATAACTTGGAACCACTCGAGAATCGTCTCATCGTTCATTTCATCGTGGTAATCCATTGTATTTTTCTTTGACTGGAAGCATAACAAACCACCAGGTGCGAATCCATCTGGGGTCCCTGCGACCTTTGGGGTCCCCTTGAACTTGGCATCTGATTTTTAATCTTTTGTCATTTTCTCGGCTGTGGGTCCCGGGGTAGGGACGGTCCCCTTTTTCCAGGGACCGGCGAAGCCCGGTGATGGTTTTCTTCCGGATGGTTACCTGGAAGTCAAAAACCGAAGGGTGATCTGACGGCAGCATGCTATGCGAAACTCACCGGGGCTTTACTCGGGTGGGTCATTAGCGGCTGTCCTCGGTGATCCTGGAGGGCCTGATCCGGCCAAGTCCTCTTGCGTCACTTCCTCGTGATGCCCCTGGGAGTTCTTTGCGTTGAAACCTGAAAAAAGAGAAATCTTTGAGTTAGGTGGATGCGCGGGGCGGCAGATTTAGGGGATTCTTCCACCCCGGGATGGTGGAAGGATGTCCGGATGGATCCGAGAATAATAAAACATGTTGTCGTTGCTCGGAGAAGTCTGGAAGCCCCGAAAATCACACCCTCTCGCCTCCACGTGGTGCCGCCTGGGATCCAGTCGGGAGAATCGACTCCTGGTGGGATGCGAAAGAGAGGGTGGCCTTTTTGTCAAATAAGATTACAAGCAGGGGGTTATCTGTACTAGGGACATCGAAGGGGGATGGAGGCAACCGGAGAGGATCATCATGGATCAATCACCGAAAATAAGGCTACGGAAGATCATCATGGACGTTGTTGGCCGATTTCGGAAAACGGCTGGACCAAAGGCAGGTGGAAGGAGGATACCGACTACAGGTGAAAGAAGAAGAAGGATGGGGGAAAAGGTAGCGGCCGAACACGGAGGGATGGTGTTGGAGAAGGGGTAAGCCATAATTACCAAAGTACACGCGTTTTAGCAGGAATTTAGCGACCCAAGGGAGCCTGACATAAGCACAACAGGGATACGTAACGGGAATGGAGAGAGTGGGACTAATGTTTGTCCCGAAGCTCGATCCATGAGGTCCTTACGTGAAGAGGGAGGGTGCAGGACGGGAGGTATCGGTGGCTCTCGTCCAGACACAAAGCTCCCTCTCAGTCCCCCCCTGAACCCGTGAGGGCACTCGGTTTCACCCACCGAGAACTCACGAGGGTGACGGGACAGGATGCGTCAGGTTTCCCGTGTCGGGAAACGAGTCGGGAGGGTAAAAGCAGACAGGAGGCGTTAGCCTGCCGACGTGCTTCCCGAAGACCACTCGTGAAGAGGCAACACGGGGGAAAAGATAGATGGGGAACCGTGTCGACTCCAGCCGTATTTTTGCCTCTCAATCCCCGCTGTGGTCCCAGGACGACGGGAAAACTGGGATAGAAACCAGTAACCCCCGCGTGGGGGGATCACAGTGACAGACACAGGATCCGCGGAGAACAACGGACCGGGTGGGGTCCGGGAAGTAGCCCGGGGGTGGCGAGGGCCCGGAACCCGAAGACCGTCCGTGGAGGGGGTGGGCAGATATATGTGTTCAAGGACGGGACACATAGGCCTGAATTCCCCCTTCGTTCTCGAACTAGTTGTAGATAGGCATCGGGGAGTCTGATCGCGGACATCGACACGGGTTTGCGTACACCGAGCGCACATTCAAACACCAGCCCGTGGTGACGTTCCGTGGGCAAAGGACACCGATGCCGAGTAGCATACGCGACAGCGGCCAAGGACGCGTGGTCACAGACTGGACCGGGAGGATCTTCGTCAAGATGATACCGGTACAGAGGTAAGAGATACAAACGCCAGGAGCGCTCATTCGGGCCCGAGGGAAGGGGGGCGATGGCCGTTCCAGATATTAAACCCATCGGCGGCCTGGGCGTGCCGCCTTGAGTAGATTAAAACACGTAGGGGCCCGAATGCGATTCCGGACAGCGGGGAATATACTGGCGAACCGAGTCCTGGAAGCATGAAGAGCATGTCTTTGCGGGACCACGGCCCAACGAGCCCCGCGGTCATCGTATTCCGGAAGGCAGTTCTCACGAACGAGGCGCCGGACGTA